TGCAGATAATGATTACATAGGAAATCCTGGAACTAGTTTGAGGACTGGGTGGTGATTACACAAACCAGAAGTCACTGGTCTGAGGATTAAGGGCTTTCTTTCAGGGGTTTTGTGGGAGTTTGTTGTCTGGCCATCACAGTCTGAAGGTATCTTTGAACTGCGGTAAATAGTCAGTGTAGAGGCAACAAAGAATCATATGACACTTTAGAAGACTCTGAGCACACATTTATTATATCTTGGGCTTTCTGTGGCATAAAACCCATTTCATCAGTGTTATCCAGATTTCGGATAAATAAATTCGGGGTCAATATGATTGGAAGACGGTCTCTAGACCAAAGCTCTCCAAACTATGTGTCTTGACACAATAGTGTTGTCTGCACTGTGTAAGTGTGACACACTAATGTAAGAAGAGGCCCTGGGTGAATGTGAAATGAACAATGCCAGCTTGCATGCATTTTTATGTAACCAATTAATATAAGTAACAGTACTAATATTAGTAACGTTTTGCAGGCAGTCCCCAAGTTATGAACAAGATAGGTTCTGTAGATTTGTTCTTAAGTTGAATTTGTATGTAAGTCAGAGCAGGTACATATTATAAGTATAATTTCATCCAAAAATAGACATGCTTTAGCTTTGGATAACATAGGGAAAAGTTTTGCTGTCTGTGTCCCTGTTCAAAAGATTACACCTCACTTTCTGTGCCTGTGATAATTGGATTCTGAAAAAAGGCTTGTTGTGGAAACAAGGATTAGCGATAAAGCTTAAGTGGAGACACCTTTTCCCCAGGATAAAAACTCTTTCACAAGTGAATTTCCCTTCTGAGGGGCAGATTTCTCTCACATCCTGTTGTATCTCCCACTTTCTTAACTATGAGTCATTTGTAAATTGGATGTTTGTAACTCGGGGACTGCCCATACTCATAAATGAGAAAAAGTATTGGAAAGGTATACTATTATCTTACAAATCCTGTATTTTGAAAAATATAAATTAAAGGTTTTTATGAGATGTCATATCCTCATACATTTCATTATTACAATTTATGCCTGTATGTATCTCTATTAAGAGGTTGGTATAACCTTTGACTTGTGCTGTCAAAGGCTTTCATGACCAGAATCACTGGGTTGCTGTGAGTTTTTTGGGCTGTATGACCATGTTCCAGTAGCATTATCTCCTGATGTCTCACCTACATCAACCCAGTGATTCCGGCCAGGAAAGCCTTCAACAATACATGGAAAGTTGTTATTATTATTATTATTATTATTATTATTATTATTATTATTGACTGTGTCGCAAAATGATGCATGTCTAAAACGGGTGTCACGAACAGGAAACATTTGGAAAGCTCTGTTGTGGACAGTAAAGTCAGACTGATAGTAAGGGCAAAAGTGCTGGCAATATTAATGCTACTGTTATGATTATTATTTTACTCCAGTGGTTGTGGTGAAAACAACGCAAACATCCCACAAACCAGCTCACTCCAGATGACAGCAAGTAGGATTCCATTGCAGAGTCCCTTTCAGAGCAAGGGAGCACCCTGTGTCCTGTCTTGCAGCTGCCAACGTCAAGACTGGGCCGGCTTGCAATGCAAGATACTCCACTTAGGCAGGAAAAACGAAATGCAAAGATACAGAATGGGGGAGGCCTGGCTCGAGAGCAGTATGTGTGAAAAAGATCATGGACAACTAGTTAAACATGAGTAATATGCTGTTGGGCAAAAAAAGCCAATGGGATTTTGGCCTGCATCAATAGGAACATAGTGTCTAGATCCAGGGAAGTCATGCTACCCCTCAGGAGCCCCCGGTGGCGCAGTGGGTTAAACCCTTGTGCCGACAGGACTGAAGACCAACAGGTCGCAGGTTCAAATCCGGGGAGAGGCGGATGAGCTCCCTCTATCAGCTCCAGCTCCTCATGCGGGGACATGAGAGAAGCCTCCCACAAGGATGATAAAAACATCAAATCATCTACGCGTCCCCTGGGCAACGTCCTTACAGACGGCCAATTCTCTCATACTAGAAGCGACTTGCAATTTCTCAGGTTGCTCCTGACACGCCAAGAAGATGCTACTCCTCTATTCCGCTTTTGTTAGACCACACCTGGAATATTGTGTCCAATTCTGGGCACCACAATTGAAGAGAGATATTGACAAGCTGGAATGTGTCCAGAGGAGGGTGACTAAAATGATCAAGGGTCTGGAGAACAAGCCCTATGAGGAGCAGCTTAAGGAGCTGGCATGTTTAGCCTGAAGAAGAGAAGGCTGAGAGGAGATATGATAGCCATGTATAAATATGTGAGAGGAAGTCACAGGGAGGAGGGAGCAAGCTTGTTTTCTGCTTCCCTGGAGACTAGGACGCGGAACAATGGCTTCAAACTACAAGAAAGGAGATTCCATCTCAACATGAGGAAGAACTTCCTGACTGTGAGAGCTGTTCAGCAGTGGAACTCTGCCCCAGAGTGTGGTGGAGGCTCCTTCTTTGGAAGCTTTTAAACAGAGGCTGGATGGACATCTGTCAGAGGTGCTTTGAATGCAATATTCCTACTTCTTGGCAGGGGGTTGGACTGGATGGCCCATGAGTCTCTTCCAACTGTATGATTCTATGTACAGTTGTCGAATCAGGCATCACCCATCCTGTATCTGTGCATTTCATTTTTTCTGCATAAGTGAAGTATCCTACACTTCTCTTTGTTGAAATTCATTTTGTTAGTTTTGGCCCAGCTCTCTAATCTGTTAAGGTCATTTTTAATTCTGATCCTGTTCTCTGGAGTATTAGCTATCCCTCCTAGTTTGGTGTCATCTGCACACTTGATAAGCACGCCCTCTATACCTTCATCCAAGTCATTAATGAAGACATTGTAAAGTTCTGGGGCAAAGACCAATCCCTGTAGCACTTTGCTAGTCACTTCATTCCTGGATGAAATGGAACCATTGGTGAGCACCCTTTGGATTCAGTTGATTAACCAATTACCAATACACTTAGGAGTAGCATTGGCTACCCACATTTGATTAAGTTTGCTTGCAAGAAGATCATGAGAGACTTTGCCAAAAGCTTTACTGAAATCAGGATGTGCTGCATTCACAGTGTTTCCTGCATCTACCAAGCTTATAACTCTATCAAAAGAGAGAGAGAGAAAGATATGAGTCTGGCATGAATTGTTTTTGACTTTTAGTAATCAGCATTCTTTTCTAAGAGATATTCTAGATCTGATCATCATATGTTAAATGTGATCATCTTACTCAAAGAAGTGTTGGCTATCTGTAGCCTTTAAATTACAACTCTGAAAATCCCTTTCCATCAGCCATACATCAAAATATTTATAGAGGGGCAATAGTTTCCTATCTCTGACCTAAACTAAGCTTAGGAGCAATATCAATTACTCCAGAAAATATTTGCAACCCAGTGATTCCGACCATGAAAGCCTTCAACAATACATTGAACATCTCTATAGGGAGAAAGTTGGATATATGTCTAATAGGCCTGGGTAACAACGGAAAAAATTGTTTCTAAAATCGATTTGTATTGGGGGGGTTTTTTTGTTTCGATATTTAAAATAATTACAAAATTTTCCTTTTAAAAAGTTCGATATTTACGAAATTTCGTAAATGGTAAAAAATTAACGAATCGATTTCCGAAACAATAACGAATCGATTCGTTAATGGCGGACGCGACCGCGAAATACGCTAAAAAACCTCCAAACCCTTCTGAAGCTTCCCTCTCCCTCTGTTGTTGACTGTTGGTGTGATATTATAATTTTTTTTCACTAATTAAACCATAAAACTGGCCCAGACATGCTGAAAAAAGGTAAAGGTAAAGGTAGTCCCCTGACATTAAGTCCCGTCATGTCTGACTCTGGGGTGTGGTGCTCATCTCCATTTCTAAGCCGAAGAGCCAGCGTTGTCCATAGACACCTCCAAGGTCATGTGGCCGGCATGACTGCATGGAGCGCCGTTACCTTCCCGCGGAGCGGTACCTATTGATCTACTCACATTTGCATGTTTTCGAACTGCTAGTTGGCAGAAGCTAGGGCTGACAGCGGAAGCTCACGCCGCTCCCCTGGAATCGAACCTGCAACCTTTTGATCAACAGCTCAGTGCTTTACTTTTCATTGGTCAAAACATGATATACATGATAGCCATGTATAAATACATGAGAGGAAGTCATAGGGAGGAGGGAGCAAGCTTGTTTTCTGCTTCCCTGGAGACTAGGACGGAACAATGGCTTCAAACTACAAGAACACCACTCTCAATCATGAGGGCCTCATGACAAGCTGGAATGTGTCCAGAGGAGGGTGACTAAAATGATCAAGGGTCTGGAGAACAAGCCCTATGAGGAGCGGCTTAAGGAGCTGGGCATGTTTAGCCTGAAAAAGAGAAGGCTGAGAGGAGATATGATAGCCATGTATAAATATGTGAGAGGAAGCCACAGGGAGGAGGGAGCAAGCTTGTTTTCTGCTTCCCTGGAGACTAGGACGCGAAACAATGGCTTCAAACTACAAGAAAGGACATGAGGAAGAACTTCCTGACTGTGAGAGCCGTTCAGCAGTGGAACTCTCTGCCCCGGGGTGTGGTGGAGGCTCCTTCTGTGGAAGCTTTTAAACAGAGGCTGGATGGCCATCTGCCAAGGGGTGCTTTGAATGCAATATTCCTGCATCTTGGCAGGGGGTTGGACTGGATGGCCCATGAGGTCTCTTCCAACTCTTTGATTCTATGATTTTTTATGAGAATTCCATCTGAACATGAGGAAGAACTTCCTGACTGTGAGAGCCGTTCAGCAGTGGAACTCTCTGCCCCGGAGTGTGGTGGAGGCTCCTTCTTTGGAAGCTTTTAAACAGAGGCTGGATGGCCACCTGTCAGGGGTGATTTGAAAGCAATATTCCTGCTTCTTGGCAGGGGGTTGGACTGGATGGCCCATGAGGTCCCTTCCAACTCTAGGATTCTAAGTTGGCTAGGCCTCAGCGCTTCGGGCCTAGCAAACTGCTCTCTCCCGCCCCGCCGCGGCACTTACTCCTAACAGGGCGCCTCTTCCTAGCACTGTCTCACCGGGAGGCAACACCAAAGGACGGCCTCCCTCCACCGGCGCCAACGCAAATCCCGACATAGCAACGCGGGACGGAAAAAGCTGCTGCACCGTGCCTCCCTCTTTGGCCCCCCTCCTGACAATTCAGCTGCGCTAAACAGTTCCGGCTGGGCACGCCGGTGACGTTAGAATGCGTGTGACGTCACCGCTGGGGTGGGGGGAAGAGGAATCAACAGAGAAGTTCAAATGGAGGAGCCGTTGAGGTGAGCAGAGAGCGCGAGCCTGATTGAGTGGCGAGGGGGCGGTGCCGCGAGGGCTCTGTCGACCAATCCCCGGCTGGAGTGGAGCCTTGCGGGGGTCGCGATTGGAGAAACCTGGGTGGGGAGCGGGCGAGGGAAAGAGAACCTCGAGGCTCTGATTGGCTGGGCCGTCCAGGCATAGGGATGGCCAAAGGGCTTCCCTCAGTCTGTTCTGGAGAGCCAGTGAAAACAGTGTAGTCCCTCACGCTCTTGCTCTCCCCATGCATAGACTTCAAAACATTAGCTCACTGTTTAGTTCTGGTAGCCCTTGACTGTCACTCCTCTGAGAGAATTCTTTCAGCCCAGCTCTAAGGCATGTAAGCCTCCTATTTTAAGAAGGTAATAATAATAATTAAAGGGAAAGGTTGTCCCCTGACATTAACTCCAGTCATGTCTGACTGGGGTGTGGTGCTCATCTCCATTTCTAAGCCAAAGAGCCGGCATTGTCGGTAGACACCTCCAAGTTCATGTGGCCGGCATGACTGCCCGGAGTGCCGTTACCTTCCCTATTGATCTACTCACATTTGCATGTTTTCGGACTGCTAGGTGAGCAGAAGCTGGAGCTGACAGCGGAAGTTCATGCCACTCCCCGGAATCGAACCTGCGACCTTTTGATCAACAAGCTCAGTGCTTTAACCCACTGCGCCACCGGGGGCTCCAATAATAATTATTTATTTATCATTTATTTATTTACTTTGCTTATATACCGCTGTTCTCAGCCCAGAGGCGACTCAGAGCGGTGTACAACATAGAAAGAACAAGGTACAAAGTACAAGACACAGTATAAAATAATCCACAATCCATCATTAACAAAAAACATCATCATCAAAAAACATCATCATTACTACGGAAGCCATTCCGCGTCGTCTCATCGTCAAAACCACAATCCAGTATCATTTTCCGTTGTTCCATTCCTATAGTCAATTACCAATCATTGCACTTCTTGTTCGAACGCCTTCTTGAACAGCCAAGTCTTTAATTTCCTGCGGAATATCATCAGGGAAGGGGCCAGTCTGATGTCCACGGGAAGGGTGTTCCACAGCCGAGGAGCCATCACCGAAAAGGCCCTATCTGTGAAGCAGGCGGGATCAAGAGCAGGGGCTCCCCGCCTCATCATCATAATCTATATAAATAAAAATGTAATGTTCGTTTGTGGGATTAACATAACTCAAAAACCACTAGACAAATTGACACCAAATTTGGACACAACACCTATCAGGCCAACGAGTGACCATCACTCATAAAAACACTGAAAAACACACCAGAAAAGACTTTAAAAGCCAAAAAATACATTACAATGCATGCACAAAACCACATATATACAAACACATATATACACATACAAAAATACAGGGTTAGTCAAAATGAATAGGCCAATAAGAAAATTAATTTTAGACGAATGTATGTTTACTGTAACCAAACCACAGCTACGTAGCGACAGATAAACTATCAAAGTTTTGTCTCACCTTCAGAGATGTTCGATATGGGCGCCCCGTGTGACACGGCAGATGTCCAAGCGATAGTCCAGTTCATTCCACATCCGTTGCAGCACATCCGACGTAATGGCATCGAATGCAGCAACGTCTGGGAAGGTGTTCGTTGAGGTCCTAACCCTAACCCTAACCCTAACCCTAACCCTAACCCTATCCCTAACCCCTAACCCTAACCCTAACCCTATCCCTAACCCTAACCCTAACCCTATCCCTATCCCTAACCCTATCCCTTTATTATTATTATTTTTTGCATTTGTTAACCGCCACTCTCAGCCCGAAGGCGACTCGTGGCGGTGTACAGAACATAGAACATAAAAACAACAGTTACAGTAAATCAGGATCATAACACACATCTTACTAACACACAGCTAATTAAACTAAAAATCCGCTTCGTCTAGTTTGGGTCATAATCAGTCTCGTAGTCCTAGTCCATTCCGGTGGTCATTCCAAAACATAGCACTTAATTGAAGGCCTTTTCGAAGAGCCAGGTCTTCAGGCCCTTACGGAAGGCCATGAGGGAGGGCGCCTGTCTAATTTCAGCAGGGAGGGAGTTCCACAGCCGGGGGGCCACCACCGAGAAGGCCCGCTCCCTGGTCCCCGCCAAGCGTGCCTGTGAGGCAGGCGGGACCGAGAGAAGGGCCTCCCCGGATGATCTCAAGGTCCTCGTGGGCTGATAGGCCGAGATGCGGTACTCAAGGTATTTTGGGCCGGAACCGTTTAGGGCTTTGTAGGTTAGCACCAGCACCTTGAATTGGGCCCGGTAGCTAATCGGCAGCCAGTGGAGCTGGGACAGCAAGGGCGTTGTGCGCTCCCTGCGTCCCGCTCCGGTTAGCAACATGGCTGCCGCGCGCTGGACTAGCTGGAGCTTCCGGGCCGTCTTCAAGGGCAGCCCCACGTAGAGAGCGTTGCAGTAGTCAGGCGGGATGTGACCAGAGCGTGTACCACCGTGGCCAAGTCAGACTTCCCAAGATACGGGCGCAGCTGGCGCACGAGCCGAAGCTGTGCAAATGCTCCCCTGGTCACCGCTGAAACCTGGGGATCCAGGCTCAGCGATGAATCCAGGGTCACACCCAAGCTGCGAACCTGCGCCTTCAAGGGGAGTGCGACCCCGTCCAGCACAGGCTGTAACCCTATACCCTGTTCGGCCCTGCGACTGACCAGGAGTACCTCTGTCTTGTCTGGATTTAATTTCAGTTTGTTCGCCCTCATCCAGACCATTACAGCGGCCAGGCACCGGTTCAGGACCTCGACAGCCTCCTTAGTAGCAGGTGGAAGGAGTGACAGAGTTGGACGTCATCTGCGTACAGGTGACACCGCACCCCGAAACTCCGGATGATCTCACCCAGCGGCTTCATGTAGATGTTAAATAGCATGGGGGACAGTATGGAGCCCTGAGGAACACCACAGGTCAAAGGCTGTGGTGTTGAACAGGAGTCCCCCAATAACACCTTCTGGGTGCGACCCTCCAGAAATGACTGGAGCCACCGCAAAGCGGTGCCCCCAAGGCCCATCTCTGCAAGGCGTCCCAGAAGAATACCGTGGTCGACGGTATCGAAGGCCGCTGAGAGGTCCAGGAGCACCAACAGGGACACACTCCCCCTGTCTAGCTCCCGGCGCAGATCATCCACTAAGGCGACCAAGACCGTCTCGGTACCATGTCCCGGTCTGAAGCCAGACTGTGCCGGATCCAGATAATCCGTGTCTCTCAAGAATACCTGGAGTTGTGAGGCCACCACGCTTTCCATGACTTTGCCCAAAAAGGGAAGATTGGAAACAGGCCGAAAGTTGTCAAATTTAGTGGGGTCCAGTGATGGTTTCTTCAACAGCAGTTTTATAATAGCTTGTTTTAAGCTCGCTGGAATCTTGCCTTCCCGAAGGGAGGCATTAACCACCACCGTTACCCACTCAGCCAATCCCCCTCTGGCCTCTTTCAGAAGCCAGGATGGGCAGGGGTCTAGGATGGACGTGGTAGGCCTCATTCCTCCAAGTATCTTGTCCACATCCTCGGGTTTCACAAACTGAAAAGAATCCATCAAAATAGGACAAGCAGGTGCTCGTGTCACATCCTCAGAGACTGCATT